TCAAGCCCTGGACATGCGACTAAACCTAGATCGACACAAACTATTTTAAGGTAAGACAGCCATCTTGTGGGACGTCAGACAGGGATGCCCCTCCGATCACGTGACTACATCTAAATATAGCCAACCGCATGGCACCAAAGATCGTGTAGAGACTCTTTGATAGCACGACACTTTGGTTCGGTGTTTTTCCAGGAATACCGGTAGATTGATATGATGTGGTGCTCCGATGATGCTGCTGCTTATCTCTTCTGCGCATTGTTTATCGTGCCGGTGTGGGAGGGGATATTCTTCCGGCATCTTTACGGCCATTCTTGTGCGCTTTATTGTCTTTGCGTTTACCTTGTTTCAATTTCATTCAAGCATCACTACCGGAATTCTGGAATGTTATTAACATACCGGAAACCTTTGAACAAATCAGTAGAGCGTGGCTGACAGACTGCATTTAGTCGAAGTGTGAAATTTTACCTTGCGCAAAACATCGATACGTATGATAAATCAAGCTACTGACCCAACTTTTCGTTCCATGCGGTATCTCCTTGAAAGGTTCTCTACTACTACACAGTCTTTGGTATCTCCACAGCCTTCTAAAAATAGTCTGTGGGTATCCCAGGATGTGATGACGTCACATTACTAAAATTAGCCGCCAATCAGGCAGGTACATCGTTCTACGTTGAGCCGCATGTGTAATGATGGATTACGCTTCCCTCACCAGCAGTTGAACATTTATTGTTAGGCCTACCCATTGGTCTACTTGGGTAAATATTCGATGGCGGGACTAACTATAACTTCAGGTGAATGAATTATGATGGCCCGTCCATAGTGTGAGGGGCCGATTCAAAATTAATGACAAAGCGTCAGGCAATGAGCCTGGTCGCCTGAGGCAGGTAAATTTGACTGTGGGTTGACAAAATAAAGTGACTGCGGTTGCATTGGACAGGTGACCGTTATACACAGTTAGATTATAATATAGAAAAATGGAAAGTGGCTGTTTGTACAGGTGGCCGTCATGTCCGGTTCAACTGTAATTCGGGTCATACTGAAATACGAAAAGACAGGAAGACTCGAAAAGACATCTGATGTGTGTCCCTTCAGGCTTGAGACTCATTTTCAGAGTTGCTTTGATTAAAATTGAGGTAATCCTTACCATCTATGGTCCCTACAAGTTTGTTTTTATATTCCGCCATGATGAACACCAGAGACTTCCAGATGAATGCAAGATTGTTTCATAAAGTCATTTCGATGTTTCTTTTTCTTTTTTGTTGCCTTACAATTATTATTAGTAAAATATTATTAATTATGTAACTACTGTGATAGGACTGTCTTTCCTTACTTTAATGGCGCTGGGTACAACTTTGACAAGTGGAAAATTAAATTACATTGTTAAACGTAGCAATGCCAGACCTGCCAACTGCTCTGATTTTATCGTAATTGCTTTGATATTTTTATCTTTTTGAATGACACCAACAGAATATACAAATTTTTTTTCCCCCGAAACTCGACCTAACATGGATCGGATGTCTCGTCGATTCAGAAAATAGGTCAGGAATTCCCTTAACCTGTCGCCCGCTCACGCTGTTGATCGACAGCACACAACACACGAACCGAGTAGATCTATGACACACAGCCCAGAGCGGGAACCACCCACACTGTGTAATTATGTACGCAGATAGCCTCGACCTCTACTATGGAAATCTTTTGTCCACGAACTTTGATCTGTCAGGTTTAAAAACAATAGCCAATCAGATTCCAGCTTTTATTTTGGAGGCAGGGTGTCCAATAATGTCGTCACGAGCAACGAAAGTGACGCTATCACTCAGGCCTGGCAGCATGTCAGAAGTCAATGGTAACTTCCTGTTGAGCTATATATATAGCGCCTTAGTTAAGAATGTTTTTCTTTTTCGTTATACTTCAAAGTAAACAGGAGAGCTTCCCGGAGATAGGGCCTATCCGAGTAAGATCATATGTGGCATACCGAATGGCCAGTTTCAAGAGCGGAATTTGCCGAATGTCCCCGTATTTTTTACTTTCGTTCTCGTTTGGCGATTTCCTTACTCCCGAGATCATGATGATTTTTATAGGCCTACCTATAATAATCTCTTATAACAACAATTCTAATAAAAGTATGCCTCTTGGCGATTAACCAACTTAGTCGGAGAATATGGATATTAAGTTAGATGCTCCTATTTTTTTCTCCAGACTCAGATTTTTTTCCTGATAAAATCCCTATTTTTTTCTGGTAGGGGTTGGCAGGTCTGCAATGCCATTGAAAATTTAATTTCACTTAGCCCTTTTTTATTTGGTACCTTTGAAAGAATTTTCAATTCTAAGAATTATGCTTTTTGAATTTTAAGAAGGGGTTCATAAATTTAAAAAAGTTATGGGGTTGTAAAAGTCGGCAAAATATGGATGACCCACATACTCCCTAACTAAAAGTGGACCTCACAATAGCAGATTTTGTAAGAAAATCGACGATGTCTCAGTGATTAATTGGAGTGTTAGAAAGAAACTACCTGAAAGGCTACCTGACGTATTTTTGGGTGGAGAAATCATTTCTGCTGTCAGATTTACTAACCATTTCGTAGCTATTTTGTTATAATTATAATTTTGGTGTACATATTACTATTTTGCGATAAAGGGATGTCGGGATGAGAGCATTTTATTTATAGCACTGTTTCACATGGGATATTTAGGAATATGTTGGCAGAGTGACTAAACAATGGCAAAGCTTTCTTTGATGACTTTAGACCATGCCAACCTTAAAGTATAATTGAATTCAATTTTGCATGCCTTACAATTAAAAACCGTTTTTTCCCGTTGAAACGCGAACACTCTGAGGTGAGATAAGCTCGCCCCAAAATACCCCTATTGCGATGTTATAGGGGAACAGAGAGAAAAACAACCGGATGTGCGCGCCTGCCATTGTTTTATTTCAAGTGATCAATGAACAGGCTCGGAATAGTCATTGGATTTGTAGGTCACATACATTTGCCGAGGGAGTGAGGGGGAGAATGGCCTGTCTCCAAGGGAAGCTGCTTTGGACAGGGGCTAGTCGTGCATAAACGATCAGGTCTAAACAACTACTTGACACAGAATGTTCAAATTTAAGGACAGTATGGAGGAAAGATAGATCTCTTACCTTCTCGACTTTGAAAATCAAGCTCCTTATAGTTTTCGGTGTACTCGATACGAAAGTGTTCCTGACACCAAAAGCAAATGTTAATTTATATGTACAAACTTCAACATTCACATATTATTAGTTTGCCCTATTTTCTGATTGGTTGCCAAGTTTTTTTCACATTGATCCTGAAATCAGTGCTTCCACTCTTCCGTATTTTTACGGAGATCCGTACTTTCTGCCAGTTCTGTACTTGTTCCTCCAGCATTATCAAATCTCTGCGTAAAAATCTGGGACAGCGTAAGTCTACAGAAATTCCGTAGCAAAAGATCCGTACTCGCCTTCGCATCGCCTTGTATAAGCTATGGATTTTTACAGTAATTCTCTCAGCAATAGTTGATGTTATAGAAACCTGCTAGATTGCACATTTCCTGCCATCGACCATTATTCCGTAATGCCTCATGCATTCATTGCGGGTTGGTCGGCAGTACAATTTATACCTGCAGATTGATCAAAGCCTAGCGAACTTTTTGTGCCACTTTCCTCCTTTCTATTATTCTCCCTCATTCCGTCTATCTTCAGATTGTTGCTGTGGCTGGAAAATCTGCGCGTTGATCCAATATATTGACTTGTGATCTTAGACAGAAAAATTACTGTCAGAAAGAAACTTTCTTGCAAATTTATTGTCTACATCTAGATCTAGAGAAACTATCAGTGCGAAGATTCTACAACACAAGACGGCGATAAGGGCCACGAGGAAAGAAATGTGAGCTAAAACTACTAAAATCAAGAATAATTCGAAGTGGTGTTCCAAGGTTGTTACATGCGACATTCAGATGTAAAAATTGAAGAAAATTAGGGATTACGCTGGGTAACGGTATTGTGAAGGGACATATCTATTAATTATTTCCTGGTTTGCCTTCTATCAATGGTGCGATGACAAATTAATTGAATTATAGTAACAATGGAAGGGGAACCTCCTTTTAAACATTGCCAGCAATGGAAAGATATGTTGGTGAAGAAATCAAACGAGATGAAATCTGGTGAAAAAATAGGTCATATGGGTCGTTGGCAATCTCTTCAAACAGGCTCCTAAATGCCATTTTCTACCCTCTAAAAGTACTATACCAACTTTGATTGAGACGAATTTCTCGGTTATGAACCAATGCAGGCAGTTCAAGAAGAAGGCCACAAACACACACAAACTCAAGCAGACTGACGCACACACATTTGAGCTTCGTGAATGCCAATCCAACACGGGAACCGGATTCAAGGGGAGATGGTGCTCGGCGTGCGTGCACTGAGCCAGGGGCTAGACTGACGCGGGACCAGAACGTAGGCGAGGTGCCGAAATAGGCTTATCGGGCGATATAGACCCGGCCCCCAGCAGGACGAGGGTTAATGCAGTTGCGAGCGGCGTAAAACACCCCCCCCCCCCCAAAAAAGAAGAAAAAAGGGAAATTTAGTTTCTGGTACCCAGATAATGGAAAAAATAAAGTTGTGATCTCTGCACCCAGAATATATTATAATTATAACCAAATAATTAGTTAATTATTCACTTTTCAGTAAGAGTAATTCACAGTAACGTTTTTCAGGAGAGAGAAAAAAAGCTGTTTTGTTCATCTTAAAATTGTACTTGCCATATGTATCTTTTCTTGCCTTTTTTAACATTTAGGATTTGAATTTTGACAAAATATTTCTTGAGAACATGCAACCAATATAACAGGTTAAGAAACTGCTATTAAAAAATTCCAAATTTTGAGCTCAGTATATCTTAACAGCTAACCGATGATATGTGTTTCTTCCAGATGTATGGAACATGCATTTTTTCTTTGTCAATAAATTTATGTATTTTCTCAATTTGCAAATTTTCTTATGCCAACAGAAAAAGCCTTTAAAAAGTGTCCCCATCAGATCAACACAGATTATAAACCAAAGTCATGAGTAGCTCAGAGGAAGTGTCGTGGATATCATGGTTCTGTGGTCTCCGTGGCAACGAGTTTTTCTGCGAGGTGAGTGTGCTAATTTCAATTTTAGTTAGGTATGTGGTGTTATGTGTGTTTATCTCCTTTGTAAGCTTGCTCTACTCTGGTGTTGACCAGATGACAAGGACTTGTGGTTACTTGAGGGAGGCATTGCGCTGCCAAGAGCTAAATGCTCGTAGATAAAGGGATTTGAAAACAACGACAACATCTCACGTGTATGGTATGTTTTGTATAGGAATATGTTTTCAAAAAAAGAATGATAAAACCATTATTTATGTTCACGTAAAGTAAAAGTAGCTGGTCTGTTGAATTTGTAGTGTTGTTGACATGGGGAGTTGAGGGCGAGATAGTGTCATTAATCTCTCAATGGTATAGTGATAGTGTCATTAATCTCTCAATGGTATAGTGGAAAAGATCTATGCATTTTCCTTTTGTGTTTAATGTTGACGAGTATTTAAATTTAGTTTGATACTTGTGAATCATACGTTTAGAGGAGAATCTTGAATGGAGAAAAATGTCACATCTCTTGCATTTTTATAAGTTATAATGTGACAAATGCAGATCTATACAACCCCCCGGAGCAGTGCCACTGACTGTAGTGTCTTTAGGCCAATCCCAAAGGGGGGACATTTCTCGTTCAAGCATAGTAGAATTGTAAATGGGCTGACTCATATCACGCTCATAACTGTGCCTGATCTACAACAGGGAACTGCTGCTTTTTTCTTTCCTGATCCTTACTATTGACATTTTCCTCTACTTTTGTATGTTTGTCACTCTCTTATGACCTGCTATTTCCGGGGTGCCTTGATAGTGGATGCAGACCTTGTGCTGTTGAAGCTAGAGAGGTGAGCAGTCTAAGTCTGATTCCCGGTAAAGACTTCTCTGTTGACACCCACCCCTTGGCGCTCATATGATCTTATGCAGTTGCGAGCGCCGTAAAACCCTTTACTATATAAAAAAAAAGATCCATACAATACATGCAAATGTGCAAGAATTGTGACTGTAATTATAAGTTTTTCTTGTCCGTTCTCAAATCATAAGGTGGTAGAAAACGCAGTGTTTTTGAGTCTTACTCTAATGAACCAAACTCATTAAAAAAAATTGAAAGATTTAAAAAGTTACTTCAATTCTTATTTGTATCCCCTACTCTAGTAGTATTTTAAAAAATTTAGTTTGTAGAATGTGATTAGTAAAATCATTATCAGCAAACTACCATGTTCTGCTTTTGAGAAACAAGGAAAATCTACGTCCATATTTTTCCTTCACATTTATGTCCTTATTTGGTTCGTTTTTGTTGTTTTGTTGTTTTTTTAAATTGTGTTTCCTTGTTTTTTTGTCTCAGGTGGATGAGGATTACATTCAAGACAAATTTAACCTGACAGGCCTCAACGAACAAGTCCCTCACTACAGACAAGCTTTGGATATGATTCTCGACCTCGAACCAGGTAATTTATTGCTTCCAACAAGAATATTTTCATTCTATGTTAGTCTTTATAGCTTCTCAGAAAGAAATGAAAGTAGGATTTACTGTGAGAATGTTGTTATGAGAATTGGTTAATGAAATGTTGTGTTAGCTTTTCACGTGGGCTGAACTTAAAATGAATCTAGCAAATATTGAGTAGAGGGTAGAGTTATTTTCATCCTTGCAGTGAGGAGAGCTGAATTTAGAGCAGAGTGGGAATCCATGAAATGCGACGAAATCTTTTGCTGTAATGGAATTTTTGTGGTATCAGATCATTTGTGTGACCCCGTTCTGAAGAAAAGTCAAAAGTTTGGTTTGCTGATATTGAAACAGAAGGTATCAGACACTCCCTGAAAGTTCATCATGAAGATAGTATACAGGTTGGTCACATAATATCGCTGGTGTCATATATTATGGCTTCTGGTAATCTCTCTTTCCCATCTTTCATCTCTTAGAGGAAGACGAAGATAATGTTGATGGAGACGTTGTTGAACAGGCTGCTGAAATGGCCTATGGCCTCATACACATGAGATTCATTCTCACCAATAGTGGCATTATCAAGATGGTAAATGGGAAGACTTTAAAAAGTTTGAGGAGTATTGCTTGAGAAGTTTTGCTTTCTTTTATCCTTTTGGCCAGAATTTTGTGTTTTCTTTTCTTTGTTCGTCTTGGCGTGTTTTTTGTTGCATTCAAAAGTTTTTCCGGTAGGATGACAGTCTTGATGCAGTATTTTAAAATTTTTTGAGACATACGCTGCAGTGACAACATATGAAAGTGTAGGGAAACTTTAGCTGTGGAAAAGGACGTTGACTCATTAGTTTTCTTTGTGTGTACCATGTTGATAATGATGTAGAGCAAAGTGAAAGAAATATTAAAAAAGCTTGACATTGTTGTACCATGACTTCCATTGAAATTGTTTGTTCTACTCAAGCGCAAGTATGTTTAGTTATGTTAGTGGTGAAGTCTTAATTCTACATACTTCGACATTGACTTTGAAGCACAATTGATATGGTAAACTTTACTTAAAAATATGACTTTCTGCTGTGACGTTGATGAAAGATAAAGGAAAAGTGCAAGATTTTATTTGAAATTTACTGATGTCAGAGCTAAGGGCTAAGCCTTTTGTTTGTTTACTTTGCTTTTTTGTGTTCAGACATTTGTTTACTGTTCTGTTATATTCAGGATATTGTGACATGAACGTTTTTCTCTACTGTTACAAGAGAACTAAGGAAGGTTTGATTTAGCCATACTTTCTTTTTTGTTACATTTTATTTGGTTTTTGGAAGGGATTTTTTTTTTTTTTGGGGGGGGGGGGGGGTTCAATTGTTTTTGCTCACACAAGTTCTCTTTCTTGAATAAGAGGAGAAATACCAGAGGGTTGGTTCAGACGAAAGATATAAATTGTTATCAGTTTGATTTAAAAATGAATAAAATGGTGTCTGCTGGGGTGGCCGCTTGACAATTGTTCCTGTGCCCATCCCATGGCAGATGATGAACTTGAGGAGAACCCGAATCAAAGTGATTTGATAGAGCAAGCTGCGGAGATGCTCTATGGCCTTATCCACGCCCGCTATATCATGACCAACAGAGGCATAGCCCAGATGGTAAGCTTAAGAGAATATGTTTCTATGGGCTGTTTTTGTATGGAAAAGTGCCTTTCTCACACGCTGAATGAATGAAGGAGTATTCAGTGTTCATTTATTTTGTAAAATTTTCATGGGAAAGGATGTAATGTTTAAAGAAATGTGAGGACAGTATATTTGTTATGAACCTGTTATATTTGCCCTTTCTTTGATTTTGTTGGCTCTTGAAATATTAGATTTGTTGTTTTCCAGTTGCAGTTTTGGATTACAATTAAATTTTTTTTGGTTCATCAAAAGGAAATGAAGCAGTTTAAAAACTTGTTCATCAAAGTTTGAAATAGAAATATGTATGTGTGTGTGTGTGTATTGCATAGCAAGAGAAATGGCAGATTGAATGCTGTATTAGTTGTATGGCTGCTTATTGTGCATGTGTTTACGGTAAACCTTGACTGTGTGACCAGTGTAACTTTTTTTTTTTCTTTTTTCTTTTTTTTTTTTTTGGTAGAGGGTTTAACGGCACTTGCAACTGCATACGGTCATATGAACGCCAAGGGGTGGGTGTCAACAGAGAAGTCTTTACAGGGAATCTGACTTACTCTGCTCATGTCTCTAGCTTCAACAGCACCAGGTCTTCTTCGACTATCAAGGCACCCTGGAAATAATGTGTCACAAGAGTGTGTGACAAACATACAAAAGAAGTAGAGGCAAATGACAATAGTAAGGATTAGGAACGAAAAATAGGCAGTTCCCTGTTGCGGTTCAGGCACAGTTATGAGCGTGACATGATGAATCAGCCCATTTACAATTCTACTGTGCTTGAACGAGAAATGTCCCCCCTTTGGGAACGGCCTAAAGACACTACAGTCAGTGGCACCGCCCGGGGGTGGGGGGTGGGGCATGATATTCTCAATGTGATTGTAACTTCTGGATACGATTCCTCATGACGTGGACAAGGACTAGCTTTACAGGGACTGATAATAGGTGAAATGAGTGTTTAGACATGTCGTATTGCTGTTGTACCACAAATAATACCATAATTACGTCTTTATATTTTATGATGTCATACGTATATTGTGTGCTGAGGGGTAACAAAAGATATAATAGTTTAATCTTTTGATATCAATTATTTGATCAGTGAAGAATATTCCACTCAGATTCACTTGAATAGGTAATAATGACAATGGGTATAAATTATTATAAAAATAAAAGTACAATTATATACCTTCGTCTGTGTGTTGAACTGTATGATTCAACTTGAACAGAATTTTTTTTATTAGAGAATTCACACAAATCTTTTCGGCTGTTGCCTGTTTGTGAAGTCTGAAATATGTTGTACCTTGGTACTTCCAGATTGAGAAATGGCAGCAAGGTGACTTTGGATACTGTCCACGAGTGTACTGTGAGAACCAGCCTATGTTACCCATCGGTAAGTCCAGAGGTTTTTCTGTAACCTGTTGTAAGTTTTGTCAATTTACAGAAGTATAAACAGTCGAGCATGGATATCTTGATTATGTTGGGGGTCGACAATTGTGTTTGACACATCTGTTATTCAAGTAAACCATGATACTGAGCAAAAAGAGAGTTATTGAAGAAAAAAATCAGGACTGACAACGAACAATAAGACAGGTATCGAAGAAAAATCAGGGAAGTAACTGATGGTAAAATGGTCAGGTAAACACCCATCGCTTATATTTGATTTTGTCTCATTTTTTAAAGATACGCAGAAAGTTTTGATCACCAATTTTTCATCTGAGTGCATGACTTTTTGTCAACCTCGGGTAAAATTTCTGATGCCTTTTGATTCCAGTAGGAAGCTTGAGAGAACCGTTCTGCCAATACAAAGAAAATATAGCGGTTTAGCTGGGGAATAGCATATGGTTCTAACTGTCTGTGAATTCAAGTTTTGCATGTTCGAGTTATCTGCTTGACTGCATGTTTGTAGAACAGTGCTTCCACTCTTCCGTATTTTTACGGAAATCCGTACTTTCTGCCAGTTCCGTACTTGTCCCTCCATCATTATCTACTCCCTCCGTTAAAAAAAAAAAGCGACAGTGCAGGACTGCCGAAATTCCGTACTCGCCTTCGTATCGTCTTGTATAAGTTACGGATATTTACGGTAATTCTCTCGGCAACAAGTTAACGTTATAGAAACCTGCCAAATTGCGCATTTCCTGCAATCGGACATGATACCGCTATGTCCCAGTCCCATGCATTCATTGCGTGTTGGTCGGCAATACATTTTTTACCTGCAGATGGATCAAAATCTGGCGAACCTTTTGTGCCAACTTCCTCCTTTCTGTCATTCACTCATTCCTTCTGTCTATCTTCGGATTGTTGCCGCGGCTGGAAAATCTGCGCGTTGATCAAGACTGATTTTGATCTTAGACAGAAAATTACTGTCGGAAAGATACTTTTTTCGCAAATTTTATCTAGATCTAGAGAAATTATCAATGCGAAGATTCTACGGCACGTGAACGCAATATAAGGGCCGCGATGAAAGAAATATATGCTGGTACGGTCGTGCCCACTACGGATGGGATCGGCCGACTGCGCCGATCGCCCGACTCGGTCGAACAAACGTGTTTGCTTTGAAACTGAAAACAAACACGTTTGTTTTTGAGGCGATCGAGTCGGGCGATCGGCCCGATCGGCCGATCCTGTCCATAGTGAACACCACGTATAAAATCAAGAATAATTCGAAGTGGTGTTCTGAGGTTGTGACAGTGACTTTCAGACATGAAAATTTAGAAAAAATGTGGGTATACGCTGCGCAACCGTATTTTGAAGGTACATATTATTCATTATTCCCAGGTTTGCCTGCTGTCAATGGTGCGACTACAAATTAATTGAATTATAGTAGCAATGAAAGGGGAACCTGCTTTTAAACATTTCCAGCATTGGAAAGATATGCTGGCAATGAAGTTAAACAAGACAAGAAAAAATAAATGTTATGGGCTGTAGGCAATATCTTCGAACAGGCCCCTAAATGCCATTTTCTACCCTCTAAAAGCAGTAAATTTCAATTTCTTCGGGGGCTTCGCCCCCTGTACCCCCACCGGGGCGCTATCCCTGGACCCTGCTGGGGGGCTCTGCGGCCCCCAGACCCCCTGCAGAATTTTCCTTACTTTTCAGCTTCAGCTGGTGGAAGCACTGGTAGAAGAATGGGTTAAAAAGGATTACATCGCCACTGTGGTGATTTGGGGCTGAAAATATTTAGAAAGTGAGACCTACCTTTGACATTCGCTAATTGTTTTGGTGGTTGTTTCTGCAGGAAAAGATTCATTCTCAGGAAACTTATATTATGAATATTAGAGTTACAGCCAAGTTTATAAGAATGATACCTAAACAACTGTGTACACTCTGCATATTTAAAAGTTTGCCTGTAAATCAAAGATTGAAAAAAAAAAAAAAAAAAGCCTAATTAATTTTAATGCAGCATGAAGCAAATGTTTTGCTGGCCACTCTGCTCAGATTTAGTGACTGGCTTTCTGTGCTCATGCAACAGTAGAACGCCCATACGATTATTTCAATTTGTTCGGGCGCTGGTGTCTTATATGGGCCTTGGAAGTCTTGAGCCTTAGCAAGGTCTTGATGTGCACCACACAGTCAGTTCCCAAAGAACATCTATGTCTTACCCTAATGAGAATGTGTGGTTGGCGGGTGCTCTTTGCTGGTTTGCTCTTCTTTCTTTTCAAAAACATTTTTTTTGGTATGTTACTCTCCAGTAACACCTTTAATATTTTGTTACTTACATGGTCTATTGGGTTACAAGTGCTACTCGTATTAGAACTAAGAAAAAATAAACTTCTAATGAGTGTTAGCTGTTCTTCGAAAAGGGGTAGCTGTCGTGTCTGCTTGTGTTTTTCCGTGGAATAATAGTGATCCACTGTTCCATTTATGGGCGTAAGTATCTTGTGACACCTCTATTCTTGGGCTCTTATACAACCTAATTTTGTTACAAGTGCCTAACTAACACTTACAGCACACAACACTTATCTCCATGGACCAGGCTGCAGATGCAGTACATCAGTACCTCACCTGTATCTCAGCAAAAAATACCCCAACCATTATTAAAATTTCAGTATACTGAGACAATTAATAGTGATCATCGCATGTCCACCAAAAAGGGGATTAGAAATCAGAACTGAAAACATTAGATCTAGCTCTTTCATCACCCGAATTCTCATCATGGTATAAGAGTAAAGCAGCACTCATGCTAGGTCTACTCGACAGACAAAAAAATAAATTTACTACAATTGTTGTATACATACTGATTTTCGACCTCAAAGATCACATAAACCATTCAGAAAGGAAATTTATCTTTAACAAGTCTGCATGTCCAAAAGGAGATTGCGGGTGGTTTGCAGGTGCTCTAGTGTGGTTTGCTTGTTCTTTCCTATAAAACATCTATTGTCCTTATCTCTCCTCCTCCTTTTTTGTGTATGTTACTCTCTTGTGACACATCTATTCTTCGGCACTTATATGACCATATTGTGAAGCAGTGCGGTAAAACTCTTACTAAAACTACTAAAAAAGGAGATCATTGCTACTACGGTTTTGTTGCTACATCACACAGGTGCCAATCGGCATCCCACGGGGGCAAAGTGTTAAAAATTCTTTTACCAAAATCCCTCCAGGTTTGTCAGATGTCCCCGGAGAGGCTATGGTCAAGCTGTACTGCCCCAAGTGTCAGGACGCGTACACTCCCAAGTCGTCGCGACACCACCACACCGACGGAGCCTACTTCGGCACTGGTTTCCCCCACATGCTCTTCATGGTGCACCCAGAGTACAGACCCAAGAGACCAGCCAATCAGTTCGTGCCCAGGTCAGTGCTATTTGTGTGTGTTTGTGTGAGTGTGTCCTTGTGTGAGTGTTGGTTTTTTTTTTGTTTTTGTTTTTTGATAAGGTAAACTTTAATGATTGCCCTTAAGAAAAGCTGGTTTTTCAGTTTGGTCTAATTTATTGGCATAGTATAATTACTAATTATTAGGTGCACCAGCACAGACAGTAAAACATACGTACATTTCTGAATTATTTTTTTTTTTACTTTGGTGACTGTATGACTTGTCCATTTTTTTGCTTATATTTGCAGATGAATTTTTCTGTTCAGTGTGAAACATGGTTTGAGTTGATACTTGTTGTGTTTCTGTTTAGTTTAAAACTAAATAGTTCTTTATTTTCTTTTTTGTCTTAGTTGTGGTTAGTTTTTAAAGTACCATGAGTTGTTCTTCATGATTAAAAAACAAAAAACAAAAAAATCCGTAAAAACTCATGGATTTGTCTGTATGTGTGTTCTACAGGTTGTATGGGTTCAAGATCCACCCTCTGGCCTATCAGCTACAGTACCAGGCGGCCTCTAACTTCAAAATGCCCATCAGAGGGACGGGTCATCCCAACAGCAAGCGATGAGAACTCCTATGCAAGTCGGCTGGTCAAAAATTTTGGGCTGTGTGTCCAGATTTTTATTTTGTTTTATTTAACTGAAGAAATTATATTTTATGTATTTGATATTTACGTGTGTTTTGAACTTTCACAACCTGTCAACGACTGACTTCTCGTGCTTAGGATTTTTGGTTTGGTTTTCCTCATTTGAACCCCTGGTACCCTTCTTCCAAGTCCAAAAGCAATGAAAGAATTGAAGATGCTGATTTTAGGGTGTGTGTGTACAAAAGATCTGTGAGTGAATATGTGTACAGTCATGAGTGAGGCAGTCTGCGTGTTAGTCCATCAGTGTCTCCCTCCCTCCCTCCCATGTCCCATTGTCTGATCAGACTACCGAGCCCCCAGCCCCCTCCCTTCATCACTGATTTCCACATTTTTTTCTCACATCTGTTTCTATACATCTGACTTTTGACAGCTCTCTGAACTGTTGTTCAGCTTTCTCTGTTTCACCATTGCATGCTTTAGTTTCACCAACTTTGTCCTCATTTTCTCTCTCTCTTTATTTTTATGAAAGCCTTCACAAGGCCCACCCCGCGCCCCACCCCACCCTCCGCAGCCTCCACTTTGTCATGCTGAAGAACTTACCATGTGGCTCAAACTATTTATAATATCATCGTGTAAGTCGTTGAAGATGTCAAATTCCAGTAATCGTGTGATGACCCTCAGGATTTGTACGCACCTTTTTGTGGGGCTCATCCCCCCCGTCCCCGTGTAAGTGACCTCGGGATCATGGATATACGTGTGTGTGGGGGCTATTCCAGTCGTTGCTCTGAGTTGAGACACTGTTCCTGCAGAGTTGCAGCTTCTCCTGACAGTTAGGCAGGGCTCTTGGGACGGCCTGCTCCTTCCACTTCTGTTTCTAACCTGACCCCCTCGTGAAATGTGCCAAGGTGGCTATTGGAATTTTTGGTGTGCACATTGAGATTCGGAGGTACGGCTGTATTCTCATATCTTTTCTCAATGAAATGATTGGTTTTCTCCCATTATGTACTGGATATTGGTTTGCAATGATCTGATTACTGTGTTATTTTCCTGGTGGCAACTTGTCTTAACTTCTCCTTTGCCGCTGCTTTCTTTGCCCCCTCCTAATTTTTTGTCTTTTCTTGTGCTCTGCATGTAACTGAATTATGCCAACAGCATTTGGCCACTGTACACTGACGCGCTTTTTTTTTTTTGGTCCTCTCATCCGTTTGATTTGAGTCAATGGTTGTCTGTGATGCCCTCGTTAGATGTAGCATAGCTAGGCCTACTTACAAGATGCGTTCCTGTAGTTTCTAGTCGTCTCTTCTGCACTTTTGATACTGCTATAATCCTTGGTGTTGCTGATTCCTATATATTTTTTTATAATTTTTGCAGTGTGTGTGTCTTGCATTATCCAAGTTCTTTTAAAAGAAGAGTTTGTGTGTGTATAGATTGTCATTTCTCATTAAATTTATATTTTTTAAAATTAGGGCTCTAGCATCTGAAAATTGCTGAGATACAAATGCATTTGATATGAATGCTCTGTCCTGTAGGAATCGCTCTGTCAGTCTGCTTTTTAAAATCTTTTTCTTCTTCCTTCTTCTCAGAGCTTTGATTCTTTACACACATGATTCCAATAATGTCATAGTCGCATATGTCAAAGCATCACCATTTTGTATGAAAGAAACTTCATGATTCATTGGTGTTAATTATGGCCGTCAAGGTACACTGCTGCAGTGGTGAATATGATTTCCTTACTAGAAATATTATGCACTCGTAGCTGTTTCTTCACTGCTTTGATAAAAGGCTTTAGGTTTATGAGTGTGTATTCATATCAGGTATCATCACCATTACACTCTGCCTGTACTTTAAGTGTCAGTTTAAGTATGGCCTCCTTCTTAGGTTTCAAAAACATGTAAAGTTGACTCTCTTGTACTGAGAAACAGCTGTAGGTAGTGAGTAGTACCCTGTCACGAGTCTGACAGGAGGAAGTGCTAGGCTGTCTGTGATTTACCAGCAAGCAAAAGAAGTATGTGAGTAGACCAGCTTGTTTATTGTGCGGCGTGAGTACAATACCGTTTTATTGCATTTGCTTTCCGCACTATGTAAGAGGAAAGTTTTGTTTGTTTTTTTGTGGGTTTTTTTTGTGTGTGAAGAGCTTTAAAACTTCAAGCAAGGGAAACGAAGATTTGCTACATGATGTTAGGAAAAGAAATGAGTACATGTATGTGTGGGTCTGTATGCTGTGTATGTGTTATTGTGGGCCAAGAGAATTTGACTTCAATATTTGATAGTACTAGAGTTCAATGGGTTATTTTGATGGTCGTGGAAGAATTGACTAATTGTTTTTTGTGTGAGTCCTCCTAAGTCTTTTGTTTTCAGTTATTACAATGAGCAGGGGAAAAGTCAAACCTCTTACCTCTTGAAGGGGGGTTTTGGTTGGCTATTGCTAGTGAAACTGGAGAATTGTGTGCTGCAGTTTTGGTGTGAAGTGAAGACAGGACTAGGGCAATACATCCAAACTTGTCTTGATTGAGAGAAATTTTGCTTTGATTAAAAAAGAATATCACTACTTTCTAAAATTTTGGAATTGTTGACTAATTTTTCCTGCAACTTTAGCAATGGGCTTTTCTATAAAATATATTTACCAGCAATGTTGAATTTTATCATGACATACTGGCAGATTTAACAGACTGGGCAAGAGCTTAGCTTGGATTAAAGAGTTGCATTTAAAATATGTAAGTAATTTTTAAAAAAATTGTTTGAGTTGACTGACCGTCCCGATGTGAAAAAAAGCAACTCTTTTTAGATTTAGCTGGTGGAGCTGTTATGATAAAACAGCAGCTTGCTGGGGATAGGATGCTCTTGTTCCGTGAGAGGACGGTGCTCATCTGTCGTGCTAGCCGTGTATGGGAAAACACCTTGTGTGGACAGTTATGTAGCTCTTTCTGTTGCATGTGTTATCGTTTGAAGTCAGAATTATCGAACACGTGTTGTTAGTTTACTGGTGTGGGTTATTATAAATAGAGTTTCTTGCATTGATAATTGTAGAGTTGCATACTGGAAAATCATATTTGAAATAATATTTTGCCTGATAATCTGACTTTTATTTAAGGGACAGTAAGAGTTTTGTTTTGTTTTGGGTTTTTTTGGTTCTGTTAGTAATACTTCTACACAAATTTTGTTTTGTATTTAGTACAGAGAATGTTAGAGAGTCCTGGAGGTGAAGAAGAGATGTACAGTATTATTATTCATCATCATGTTCTGTTGAATTGGTTGCCACGACACATTTTGTAGCTCATCAAATAATAAAGGTGTATTATGTCCTGTTTGTTGATATCAGTCTCCGCCTTATGATTTTTTCAAAAATTTTGGAGTGGATTTTTGGAGGGTTCTGTGGTGTGTCCTACACTTTCTACTTCCTTTGTGTCTGTTTTCTTTTTCATGCTTCCTGCGAAATGTGGCTGTTGTTGTGTTGATTTGCTGTAAACTATAATTGTGCTGTTTTTACTTTTTTTTTCTCCTGGAGTGTTTATTTGTCCATCTGGATGTGCTGTCAGCTCAGATGGCAGGTGCTCTGGTGTGGTCTGCTCTTTCTTTCTGATCAAACCTTTATTGTTCTGATCTCTCCTCCTTTTTTTTGTGCAAGTTACTCTCTTGTAACACCGTTAATCTTTGGCACTTATATGACCTTATTGGGTTGCAAATGCTGTAAAACTCTAAAACAAAAAGGATGCCCTGGTTTGAAAAATAATAACTCTGTAATGGCTAATGGTATCGGGTATCGATACCAGAATTCTAGAGATGATAGAGTATTGGTTAAGTACTTGCTAGTGGTTCTAACTTGATTTTGTCCAAAATGTTCCTTGCTCTAGTATATCTTAGTTATAATGGATGACGAGTTGGCAATATTCTGAACTGAAGTCCAGGTGACCCAGATTTGAATGTTTCTGAGTCAAGGTTGTTTGTGAAGAGTTTTTGTGGCACCGAATGCTTTGTATCCAAAAGGGATCATGGACATGATGCTGATGATGGTCATTTAGTGCTGAGAAAGAGCAAGCAAAAACAACAAGGGTGCGCCGTTAGCTCAGCTGGATCATGCTTGAGTGAACGGTCCTGGTTTGAATCCCAAACAAGGCGCTCTGAACTTCGGTTGTTTAGAAAAGTTTTTTAAGGCCATGCACCCATATAGCTCAGTCGCATAGGAGATGGATGGTAAATTGGGAGGTCCTGCTTCTATAACAACTTTTTCATTTTGAAAGGGGCATTAAACCTAGATCTATGCAATTTCACAATTTTCATGAACAGCAGGGAGGGCAAAAAACTCTTGATTTGATTGTGACCTACTACCTCGACCACTAGCAACAAGGTTGCTTTGGAGGTCATGGCTCTTGAGCTAATCAGATCCAGTAAATTAAACAAGTTTTAGTAAGAGTTTTACTGCACTTACATACAACACAATAAGTTCATGTATAAGTGCCGAAGATTTGAGGTGTTAAAAGAGAGTAACAAAAAAACAGAGATCAGGATGATAGATATTTGATAGGAAGGGAGCAAACCACACCAGAGCACCCGCCAACCACCCACTCCAGTAAATTGGATCTATATTGACAGAATTATGATCCCTAGCGGCTAGAAAAAAATAAAATAACTAACACAGCTATGGCAAAAAGAACACAAGAGACACATGCTAAACCGATGGGTCCTTCTAACTATCACCCCCTGAAAGCATGGTGGACTGGGCGAGCAGTCCTCACACTCGCACATATATGTGAGGCGTGCTGACTAAATGAGTTACTTCTCGCTATCCAAGAATGGAGATATCGGACGAAAATCGACAATGGGGTCAAGATTAACAGATTTTCAATTGATGCCGTTTTTTTCAAGTCTACCGTGTCGTTAAGTATTCCATACTTACAAATTGTACTAACTTCACCTACAAAGTTGATGTATCAATTTCCATTTGGCTGAAATTCGAGAAGTAACTCATTTTGTCAGCACACCTCCCTAGACACTCACATAAATAGACGGAGAAACATCGATGAGGCAACTCTCGTGGTATCATGAGCCTAAATAATTTTATTATTACAACAGTGATACAGTGCACCATAGAGATAGGCAACCAAGCTTGTTGAAAGGCGTGAGAACAGTAAGAGCATAACTCATTTAATATTTTCAGAAACAAATTCTTGGTCTTAAAATGCAGTATGTGTTGCCTTATAAAGACAGAAGAAAGGTTAATGAAAAAATTTGTATTTGTGTTAATTTTAGCATTGAATGCCACCTTCATTTTGTACAGCTGTTACTATAGAAATGAAGTCGCATAATTATAATAGATTATTTTCTATTTTCACCTTTTAAAAAAAGGAAAGCTGCAAATTTCGAAAGGAGCAAACAATTTCTAATTTCCAGAGAGAGGAAGGAAATACACCAATGCCATGAACAGCTGCAAAATATATAGATTTGTTCACAAATTTCTCTTCACCAAAAGCAATTTCATTTTCAGCATTTTCAATCATTTTATCTAGCCAGCCATGATGCATAACGTTTAAGCATGTTCATACACATGCAAATAGACTGTATATCTCTTATCACAAGGAGGAAAGAATAACAGAATTTTCCTCTTCAATTGATCAAGTCTGAAGTGAAATTTTAAAAAAATACAAAACCTGACAACCTAAGTGGTAGGGAGGGAAATTGGAAACTCCCCCAGTAATCTTTTGTCCAGTTTTGTGTGATATGAGTTAGCTGCTGTCCAAGGGCCAACTGAATATCAGAAAACTTATAATTTTTCATCTGTTCTTCACAAGGCACGTGATGCAAAAGAGAAAAAAAAGACAAAATTCAAAGAATCAAAAGTGAAGTCAAGGATGGATAGTATAGTAACAAAATGAAAGCTAATTATTGTGACACATTTCATTGAAGAGGTGACATATGAGGGCTGTCCCACGGAAAACTGGAAAAGGTCCATAAAAGCAACAATCTTTGTCCTATTATAATTAAAATGTAACACAGCATACCTCAACATGTGCTTTATTTCTCAATGTAATCACCATCCCGGTAGACATATTTTTCCCATCGCTAGATCAGGGAGAAGATACCCTCCCTGAAGAATTTTACGTCAAGGGATTTCAACCAATCTTTCACGGCTTCCACAAGGTCTTCGTCATCGGTGAATGGCTGTCCAGAAATATGGCGTTTCATTGGTCTAAAAAGGTGATAATCTGACAGGGTCGAGTCAGAACTGTGAGGGGTGTGTGGCAGAACTTCCCAGCCGAACCTTTGGATCCAGTCTTTCGTAGCGTTTGCGGTGTGTGGCGTTGCGTTGTCAAGCTGCAAAATGACCCCGCTGGACAACCGGCCTAATCTTTTTGGCGCACAACCTCTTTCAACTTATCAAGAGTCTGGCAGTGTCTGTTAGCATTATATCAGTTTGTCCTGGTTCCAGGATATCAAAAAGCAGAAAACCCTTAGCACTCCATAAAACCGTGGCTATGACTGAGTTTCTTCACCGATGGCTGAACTTTAAACTTTTTCGGGGGAGGTGAAGACGTGTGCTTCCAAACCATTGAATCCCTCTTCGTCTCAGGGGTCATGTCGTGTATCCAAGTCTCATCACCTGTAATAATGCTTCTCAGGAATGCTTCATCGTATTATTGGAGGTCTAGATGCGTTCACGACTCCCGTGATAGTTTGGCGACAACGATTCAACAAAGTCTGAGACACTTCAACCCGTTGCGTCTTGTGGTCAGCTGTCAGCTCTTTTGGGACCCATCGAGCAGACACCTTTCGATAGTGCAGCTCATCAAACACTATCCTATGGACAGTCAACTTTGAAATGTTTAGCGACTTGGAAATTTCGCGAGTTTTTAAGCACCTATCTGTTTGAATGAGTTTATTAACGAAACTTTTTTGTTGTCCTCAGTCTTGGCAGAAAAACAAGATCCTGCATGAATTTGTCATTGACATCCGTATCCCCGGCTTTGAATTTACTACACCACTCATATTCCTGTGACTTTGCCATTACTTTCTCCCCGTAAACTGACTTTATTTCAGTGAGCATTACTATAGGTTTGAGACCTTTTGCGGTCAGAAACCGAATGACAGACCTCACTTCTACCCGTGACCAATTTTCCAAGGGGGTAGCCATCTTTGGAGAACTGTTGTGTTCGTTTGGTTTGTGCAATGCTCATGGTGCTCAATCGAGAAATTCCTAAATGATTGTTTTACAAATATGCGTTTACACAGAATGTGAAAATATTGAATAGTTTTCAAATTACAGCCAAATTCCGGTTTTCTGTGGGACAGCCCTCGTATATTACATATATTAAAACATCTTCTTCCAGGTGTTCCCTTCACATTTTGGAATGTTTCAATCTTGGCTACTGGCAAGAGAATAAATACATGTGTGTGTACATCAACTGTATTAATATGTGAGGCAGCGTGGTGGAATCAGGCTCTCGTCAATTTTTGGGCATATTGAGTTATTGGTTTCATCTTAAAGCTTGTTCATTTGTCTTGCTTTCAATGAAAAAAATTACCCATCCATCTTCAACAGAAGTGGTGATATTTTGGATTGAAGGAGGTGGGGGTCACCTTGTTTAAGAAGTAAAATTAGCGAGAAAATGGCCGCCAAGGCTTGGTAAATTCCAAAGCTGGAGAGTCTATTGAAACTGTAAATTTATATTATTGAGCCTTTAATCAACATTTTTTGGTGAAATCCTCAAAGGAATGTGTTTGTAAATGGACATAAAAGGTGTTGAGCCAAAAAACACAAATTTGATAAAAACTGCTAAGCAGGGAGAAAACTACTTTTTTCATCGATTTCATTATTTTGACAAGAGCCTGATTCCACCACGCTGCCTCACATATTATCATTACTGCAAGAAAAATGAGTAACTTTATTATTTTTTCCTTTTCCACTGTACAGCAGGATCAAAGAAAGTGACTCAATTTACTTGTGATAGCAATGCCAAATGAGTGACGACTTGGTGGAATCAGCCGCTCGTTCTTTTTAGGGGCATAGGGAGTTATTGGTATCATCTAAAAGCTTGTTCATTTGTCTTGCTTTCAATAAATCAATACCCATCTATTTTTAATTTAAGTCGAGATATTTGTAATTGAAAGAGGTGGGGGGTAATCTGGTTTCAGAGGTAAAACAAGTGAGAAAATGGCTGCCAAAGTTTGGTCACTTCCATTGCTTGAGAGTCCTTGAAAACTGAACATTTACATTTTGTGTACCTTAAATAAAAAAGAACATAAAAGGTGTTGACCCAAAAGGCAAAAATTCGATAAAAATTGTGAAACCCGCGGGAAAATGCATATTTTAAAAATCTCATTATTTTGACGAGTGCCTGATTTCCCCATGATGTCTCACATGTAGTTTTTTTCCTATGGTGGTAAGAGTGGTAGAGAAGTGTGTCAGATTTCCACTCATTGCTGGGCAGTGTCATGAGCTCATGATATTGAGAGAAAAATCCACAACGGACAACGTGACACACTTCAGGAGAGGTTTCCGGAAACTAATTGTTCACTTACGGTACTTACAGGAAATGAGACAACAAAAAACTCTTAAAATTAAATTAAGATTATATACTGTACACCTACAGGAAACATGACAACAGAAAACTCTTAAATAAATTTCAGAATATATATATATACAAACACGTGCCCACATTATGTCTGCCATATGAGTGAGAGAAATACAGTATCACAGAAACTCCTAGCACATTGAAAAAAGAGGCGTCCTTTGTTCAACAAATTATTAACATAACATTGAGTATCAAGTGACGTTTTAGGAAATAAGACATGAAAACTTTGCGCACACTAACTTCACACACTTGACTTGCACATCAGACAAATTCCTTTAGTCGTAATGAACTACGCTTTGTCATTTTGATGACATTACACCATGGCTCTAGGTCCTAGCAAAACTTTTTCCAGCAAAAGGTTGGTCATTTAAAAGATTTTCACAAATAAGGATGTTTAAATAGACAAGTAAGATAACATAAGATAATACTTTATTATCCCAGAGGGAACATTTTCTTGGCTGTACAGGACCGTAAAAACACATGCAGGTATACATACTGGTGATTCAATGGATTTAATAGTCTAGACTCTAACTAAGCAATGAAGCATCATTTAGGAAAAATAATTTTCTTCCTCTTCTGTTTTTACTGAAGTTCTTCAGCCCAACTTATAAAACAGACCACACATTAATATTAACATAATACAGAGTATTAACGAAAATGCATTGAGAAACGAAGGGTTAAAGAAAAGTAATTAGGGTGACAGAAATCGCAATAGAACCAGATCTTAGTTCACATTTTTCTTTAGTAACTAGTGTAATCCACTTAAACCGAAATCTGCAGGACCCCCGGATTTTCTTTGGTTTAATGGGATGTTCGGTTTACAGAAGTTCCTCAAATACAAGTTTTAAAAAATCAGGGATTTTATATTCTTTCCATTTATTAATATTTTCGGATTAAATACTAATAATAGATAATAATAATAGATAGCATTTGTATAGCGCAAATCCCCGCTCAACAGCAAGCTCTATGCGCTTCACAATCTATACTAAATTTGTTCAGTTCAAGTGGTCTCCACTACATTAATATAATAAATAGGTAACCTGATGCTTCAAACGTTGAGTAAAATATGGAAGTTGTATGTCGAGTTCATGAAGTTCAGCTTATTTCTCTGTCCCCGCAGTTTTCTGCCAAAAAATATCTGAAATTACGCAAACTGAGCCCAAAAATGTGAAATTATGTAATTCTGTAAATTTTTACAAAGAATGATACAGACTCTATGGAGACCTGGATGACTCTCTTCAGAGGGTAATTTCTACCGCTGGTCTGGGGACTCTCTTGTAACACCTCTAATCTTCTGGCACTCATATGACCTTATGCAGTTGCGAGCGCCGTAAAACCTCTGCTAAAACTAAACTAAACTAAAAGAATGATAAAGGAAAATAATCAGAAATTATGCAAAAAACGATCAAATTTTACTAAATTAATTATGCAGGGTGCATAAAATCGCGAGGACAGATTTCTTTCTGTCAGCTCACAGGCTCACTTGTCACGCTGTCAACCGTTCTTTCCCAAGACCAGGCTTCTACTTGGTCCCTTTCACTCTTTCTTTGTTTCTCCCTCCCTTCTTTACAAGTTCTCTTTTTCTCTCCCTTCTCTCGTAGTTTTTCTCTCCCTCTCTCTCTCTTCATCCTTTTTCCGTTCTTTCTCTGTCTATCCCTTTTCCCCTCCACAACCCTCTTTTTATCCTCTCACCCTCTCTTTCGAAACCTATATTCCCCAATTATACCCTCCTCTCATTTTCTCTCTCTCCCTCTCTCTCTCTCCACCTTTTTCCCCTCTCCACAACAGAGAAAACACCAGTTACTAAGGCAAATGTTATAGATAGTAAAATCAAAGAAGCTGCATGTATAGTAAAACAGAGGCCTGTGTGTGTGTTGTGAAAGAATGGTCCTCTTTAAACAATTGAGTTTAAAAACTTAAACAAAACTCTCTTAATTAACTTCAATGATATTTAGCACATAGACCACTACAATGTACAACAAATGCTGAAATAAAATAAAAAAAGTACATAGATTTTTACACCAATAACCTTGAATGCTAAGGTTGGCCTCGTAGCTTTCCTTCATGACAATTGCTGCTTCTTCAACAATAAAATGAAGCTGCAATGTGTAGTTTCCTTTATTCGAGGGAAGATAAGATTAACAGCAAAGCTACATCTCTTTACTGAGACAAGATTGATGGTTCACATATATATATATATATGAAAACTACCAATGGCTTGTGATAATCCATTTTTAATGATGACTAATCCTATACCTTTTGACAGTCAAACGACAAGTTTAACATCTGTACAGTAGAGAGTGAGAATAGGAGATTGGGCACTTTTACAATACTACTAATGAGAAAAAAAGTTACAGAAATGTCTTTACCATAACATGATTTTTCGTGTTGTCCTTATAATAATATGTTGTCAAAATTAACCATCGCCATAATGAGCTTGCCAATACTGGCTGTAATGAGGTCTGCTCTTAACAGTGGTAACTTTGAACATTATTGCGAAGATATCGTGAGTGGATTGCCTTTTTTAACATCAGAGAGAGAGGAAGAGGCACAGGGAAAAAATCATTAAAACATCATTATAATAATAACATAACTGGTAAAAACAATTCATCATAATTTGGCTTGAATGGAGGAAAAAAGTTCAGATAAGAACAATTAGAACACTGGTATTGTAATCTGAAAATTATTTAAATGCACTTGGAAAAACTTAAACAACAATGACAATAATCTTTTTTTTTTAAAAAGGGGAAAAGAAATCAGCATGTTTTTTTAGCCATCATTCTTGCTCATACATTCCATCCAAACTCATAGTTTCGTATACTCTTAAGTCACAACAAAAGTAAAGAATGCATAATTCATAATCACATTTCCTTTTTTTTGCCTTTCATCTAAAACAGTAAAACATCTCTATAACCAGTGAATCCCTGAAGTGATTCAAACTAAGAGGCACCTCAAAACATTGGTTTTAAGTCAACAAAACATGCAAAAAGATACACTGATAACATTCCATTCATAAAAAGTATAAACTGCATTTATACCCCCCCAAAAAAATTATTTCAAACAGGCAAGAAAGCAAGAAAGAAAATAAACCGCTTCAGTTTATGTGTCATCCTTTGCCTCCTTTCTCTTAAAATCATGTGTTCATAAGACTGCCAGATGCACAATATGCAGGCTTATTTAAAAACATAGATAGAAAAATAAGGTGCCATCTAAATCACAACGATTAATCACTAAACAAATCTATTTAGAGAGCAAGCATTCATTTCACAGGACCACAAAAGAAACCATACTGTTCTGAGTACTTGTGGAAAGTATAATTATCATCAAATGTAAGTTTCTTTTATTTGACAAATCTTAAGTCGTTCTTGCTGTGCCGATATAGACCGCTTTCAACTGTACCATCAGTTTTTCTTTTAAAGTGGATCATTAAATAACTTGCATGACATGCAATACCATAAATCATTGTAACATGACATGCAAGCAGCACTCATTGAATTTTTATTCAAACATCATTAACTTCTTTTATAAAACTTGACTACCAACCTAGAAAAAACCCATAATCATGGCAACATACATGATACACACGGAATGTGCTGAAGATACATTAAAACCAACAACAGTAAGCCCACAACAGACCTACACCTGAAAAGACATGCAAATGTTCTAATAATAGTGAGCAGCGTCAAATTTTGGCAAGTCACAGCACACACGTAGAATGAACCAAAAAAGGTTAAAGTCATCGTCATCTCAACCAATATTGACCACAGGATTTGAAGGCAGGTGCTGCGTGAAAAGGAAAGCTACACCATAAACAACGCATTTCATAAGTCATCCACTTCTGTTCCCATCAGTAATGAAAGGCTTTCGTCAAGTAATTTCCTTGGAGTTTGAGGAGATGAACACCTTGACTGAAGGATCCCACGAGTATACTGTACAGAAAGAATGGTAGACAACATAGCATCTTTATGTACTTCTTCTGAAAGCTTACAGTACCACATATGACATAATTTTGTTTGTCCATTCAATGGCAAATCATTTGTGTGCTTGTGTGTATGTGAATACATATATGTGTGAGTGTATATATCATACTTACGTGTTTGGAGGGTGGGGTGTAGATAAGTGTGTGCATGTTTAGGTTTTCAGACTCGCAACCATAATTTTGTGCATTCGAATCCTGACAAGGGCCTGACGTGTCCTTGGGAAAGGAATTCGTAAGTGGGTTGTAGATAGCAAGTTGGCAAACAAATTATGATCTATAAAAATGCAGCATTCCACTTTTCTGATCATTTGCCACGAGTATTCTTTTCAAGTCCTATTAAGCTTGTGGAGAATCTGACACAGGATCCTCGAACCCGAGTCGAGAGGGCACAATTTACACATAATATAGTATTCCCTCGCCTTACTTCACCCAGGTGGGAATAGCTGCTTCAGCTTGGTGGCTATAATTACAGTAGCGGATACAGCCTCATATACGTACTACCCCCTCATTGTACACCGTGACCCGAAAACAGACCAGACATTTTTATAGAGAAAAACCCTCGGTTGTTTTGTGGGTTTTTAAGGTAAGTGTTTTATGGTGCTCGCAACTGCATAAGGTCATATCAGCGCACAGGACACACTGAACATTTTCAGTTTGGTTTGGCAGAAATTTCAAATTTTGCCCAGGTGGTGGCCGAAGCATACTCTTATCAATTTTAGACCATCAAGGGATCCTTAACGTATGCAACTGGAACGGGGGACCTCCGAGATTTTTCGCCCTTGTGCCAGAAGGTTAGGTGTAGATCTTTCCTACCAGAAGATCAGGGGTGTGGCTGAAAGACAGCAGTGAGAAGGAGCCAAGGAGTAGCAGTACAAAGGCTGCAGAAAGAGTCAGGAGCCCAGAGGAGGGGGCAAAGGAGGTGAGGGGGTGAGGGCAGAAAGTGGATATTTCCTTGCTCAGTAAGTATGTGCTTGACCATCTTTAAAAAAATTACAACGTAGGTAATAGAGTCTACCACGTACATAGTGAACACACACACACACACACATAGCAAAACATGCACACAGCGAACAGATTGTTAGGTCCTCAATTTAAAAAAAATTCATGTATATCTATGTACTTAAAACTCTCACACAGTGAAATTTGTACTTGGTAAAAAGATTTACGCCCCCCCCCCAATTTCGCTATGTGTGTGCGAGGTTGTATATAACTCACCTGCCATCACTGTACGCAGTCAGGGATGTGAGGGGGCCTGAGCCACTGAGGTAGCACTCGGTCTCACAGGCTGGAGGGGACAAAAAAATGAAAAGCAAGGTTTTCCCATTACCGGTACTGCTGACTTTTCCAGAAAGTATTATTTAATCAAATGCAAGACTGTTGAGTGAGGCATTCTCTCCCCCCCTACCTACCTCCAAGCCTCCATCCCCCCCAAACAGCGATGCCAAATATTCCCTTACAAGACAAGTAAAAGACGAGAAAGAAAATTAAATTTTTGTAAGAAAATGGTGCAAGGCTGTTTTCCTGATAATTCAGCTAACCAACTGACAAGTTCTCAACAACTGTAGTTTTCCATCTCAGATCATACGCAGAGAATATAATCTAAGGGATTACACAAAAGAAGATCATATGCAGCAATCACTCAAGGCCTTGAGTTGCAGGGGTCTCTCATCACTGGAACAATGACTTGTTGTGAATGTTAAAGGCCCTCATCAACACAATCTAGTTTATTTAGAAGGCTGAGTTATTTTGCGCGGCCCATAGAGACCAACCAAGGCTGATTGTCAAACAGCATCCGATCAGACAGATGGTGATATGCAATAAAAATGACTTTCCAACATGGGAATCAATCTCACACCTTCCGCGAGGATTTGCAAAAATAAGTTAATCGTTACCCAACAGAGATGCCAATCCTGGAAGCAAGACTATAATAACAACAATAACAGTAACAACAGCAACAATACAGCAACATCAAAAAGAATGACCAAAACAACAACAACAACGAAGACAATGATGATGACCATGACTACAACAACAGCAACAACTACAACAACAGCAACAAAAACAACAACAATGATGATGACAATGACAACAACAGCAACAATAACAACAATAGCAACAACAACAGCAACAACAACAACAGTTCAAACAAACATGTTACTCTAGTCCCGCCAATAACTTACCTCCACTGAGCATGTTCCAAATCTTTACACTGCAGTCTCGGGATGCTGTCGCTACAAGGGGGCGTTCTGTACCAGGCAAGAATAGGCAGGCTTCGACAGCCTCAATGTGACCTCTGTACTCCAAGTGCAATTTGCGACTTCGAAGGTCCCAAAGCTGAGTCAAAAACCAAAAAAGAAATTATTCGGACGAGAACATAAATGTCTAGGAGAAAACAGCAAGTGCTTTTGTTGAAGTTGAACAAATTGATTAAAGAAGTTAAGGTTAGTTCCCACTAGGTAAAAGCAAACATAATATAAAAATGTATTGATATATATAGAAGCAGAACTTGGTTGGTAGAGCTGTAGATTACGGTCAGTTGTCATGATAACTGGCTTACTAAAATAAAAGGTAGTTTAGGATGATAGTAACACTGGAGAAAATGGTTGAAGGAGCAGAACAAAGCAGAACACTCATCACCTCTTCCTTCCCTCCCTCCCTCCCCTTGTTATGGAAAACGGAAAAAGGTTGAGAAATTGATGAGCCACAGCATCCTATAGGTGCATAGAGATAAAACCTAGAGATTAAAATAAATGTCTACCACTACCACAAAGAACACGCACAATCACTTTATATATATAGACATAAGATATGAGATAAGATAAGATAAGAAAAGATAAGATTAGATACGATAAGATAAGATCAATTTTATTGATCCACGAGGGACATTTTGGGTGGATATACTAGAAAATCAATATACAGAGACTCAGGATCAACACAGAAATGCACTCATTATACTTATGCACAATGACACACTTACAGCAGTGCACAAACCACACCCAAGTGTAAACATATTCAGATAAAAAATACACACTGTCGGGCCCGTTGTTGAGATGTATTACGGCCAAAATGTTGAAAAGTTTTTATGTTGCAGTTTTAAATCTGTGGTATCAGTTGTTGCATGTGCTGGAAAAATATTTTGTTAAAATTCAAATTCATAATAGGACTATTGAAAAAACAAACTAGGAAAAATATGTAATGTAGGTATAATTGTTAAAAGAATGAAACAGTTTTTATTCTCTCCCATAAAAAATTTTGCTTTCTGGGCTTCGAACATTTGAACAGGTTTCCGAGGACACGGGCACACATACCGTTGCCTCACAACCATTGCCGGAGAACCCGTTGCTGGAGGAGACGATGAAGTTCCCGTCAGCGCTGATGTCACAACACATCTGGAGATACTGCTTTTTGGGGAAGCTGAACACAGGGTTGAGTGATCGCGTGTCAAATACTCTGTTGAGAGTGACAGAGACAAAAGGCTCTTTAGTTTAAGTAGAGGTTTTACGGCACTCACAACTGCATAAGGTCATATGAGCGCCACAAGATTAGAGCTGTTACAAGAGAGTAACAAACATAAAGAAGAAGGGAAGATAAGGGCGATAGATGTTTGATAGGAAAGAAGAAGCAAACCACACCAGAGCACCCGCCAACCACCCACTCAAAAGGTTCAAGGATAGCACACAATCGAATTGCAGTCTGGCATGCACACAGTCAACACACTCACAGCAAAACATGCACAAAGTGAACAGATTTTCAGAACTGAATTTTTTTAATAAATGTATTTTCTTTGTATTCAAATCACATACATCAAGAAATCTGTAGAACATAACGAAAAGTTTTTTGTGTCTCGCCGATTTTGCTATAGGCTTGCTAGTCTGTACGTGGATTCTTCTTCTTCTAAAAATAGTGGATCTGAAACAAACATCGGCTAATTCTCAGCTTTAATTTTTACACGAACGATACTCTGAGCAAAAACAAAGGAAAGACAATGTCCAGTTTGAGCCTTGGAGAGTGTTTAAGTATATGTTTGCTAAAGTGTGCCGTTCAGTAATTATTTTGATATGATACAATAGGATTCTCAGAAATGTAGTATTTCGAGGTAAACCAAACTACAACCAATTGACCAAGAGGTCAAAAAAAGAAGACGATGCTAATACTAATAGACTAGAGAAACTGCTGCCATGGGGAAAGATAGAGGGAAAAAGAGCAGAGGAAGACAAAGAGCAACGTACACAGATGGCCTGAAAACTTTGCCACAAATAATACAAAACCAAAACTGATCAAGAAGACAGACAGCTGGAAGGAGTGGGGTACCACGATTGTCAATGTCATCTCCAGATCTGATACTCGGAAAAGAAGATGATGCTAAATGAGACTAATGTGTACATGCCAGAAAATATATTGGGAGAGTAAGGAAATGACATATGGTACATACTGCACGAAGAAATGAAAGACAAAGTACTCAATCACTTAATATTCTATACATCAAGCTCCTGTACGTTGTATGAGAAGCTGGTCTCGGTATTACTTTGAACTTACCTGACCTCCTTGTCTTCTCCTGTTTGCACAACAAATGAGGAGTTGGGGACAAACTTTACATCTGTCACCTACAACAAAATGTCAAATTGATGTAACAACCAACAATATAAAAATTCAAGTACAACACAACAATAAATACTTCATCCAAAAATTGAGCTGACTTTTTTTTTAAACACAATTTTTTTTCTTTACTAATGATAGCGTATCAAATTTTCTTTTGATTTAATTATATTTCTCAGTATACACATTTATGTGTGAGCTGAAAGGGGAAGGGGTGGGTGTGTATGGTAAAGAAAATGATAGAATGTCCAGCTGTATCTTGGAATGCCTTGCTCTGCCAGTAGTGCCACTGCTCAACTACACAAGTACCATCAAATAAGACCACATAATCATTTACATAAGGGACACGGAGAACATGGTTTATAAGTTATCATTTTACGACTCCTAAATGTAAAATCCTCAAATGGAACCATCACAAACAACAAAAAACACCGCTGGGAATACAATATCGTTAAAAAGAAACAAAATTGACAAGAGAGAAAATAAAAGTAGCAGAAGAATCACCAGGTTTTGTGGAATGCTGTTAGACTTGAGGCAAGCTGCTGTCTCCACATCCCACAGCTTTACAGTGTTGTCTCGAGATCCACTGCACAGAGTCTTGTTATCTGAGGAGGGAGGAGAAGGCAGCATAAGAGGAACATGTTTGTATAAATTGAGTCTCGTTATCTGAAGAAAAAAGAGAATATGAGGAATATGTTTGTTTAACTTGAGTCTCCTTTTCTAAAGAAAAAGGAGTATATAACGAACATGATTGTATAAATTGAGTCTTGTTATCTTACGATGTAGGAAAGAGAGAATAAGAGAAACACACTTGTATAAATTGAGCTTTGTTATATAGCGAAAGAGAAGAAGTGAGTAAAAAAGAAATGAGTTTGCATAAACTCTATGGCGACTCCTTTTCCAAAGTACACATCAAAGATTACTTGATTGTTTCCAAATCATACTAAATTGAGCTGTGTTTGCAGATACATACATGAGAAATCATATAAAACATTTTGTGCTTCTTTAATTTAAAATGCTTCTACAGTCAAAAAGCAAATGCAACATAATGTGTGTATTATAAAGTACTACCTCCGCTAAAAATGGAGGGAAGAGTTGGGAGACGTTAGTTACAAGACAAGAAGAAGATGTCAGAAGTATACTTTATACCCACAATGTGTCTACAAATATAAAAAGGTTCTATTTTGCAGGGGAGGAAAAAACCCCAACATAACAACGATATACAATCAAACCTCTTCTAAGGGCCACATATCAGAGACAATCCCCTGTACAAACGTCCACATCCCACTTACTCCCTCCCCCCTTTATTTCTTCAAATAACTCTGTCCTAGACATCTACCTGTCTAAGACATCCACTTTTCTCCAGGACAATGTGTGGCTGTCGTGGACAATTTCAATTGTATCATGGATAGACACAGAAAGAGTAAAAAACATGAATACCTTGACTTAGATCTATTGCTGTAACCACCAAGGCATGACCCCTGAAGTCTTGCTGGGAGGCAGTCCGGCCTGGCTTCCATAGTTTGATGAGTTTGTCTCGGGATGAGCTGAATACCGCATCAATGGATCTACCATATGTGACCTGGATTTGCAGAGAAGACAGCAACATTCCCAGACTTAGTGGCTCAAATGCAAGTTATACACCACAGTGGAAAGCATAAACAAATCCATAAACAAGAGAAATAAAAAGATGAAATAAAAAGATAAATGAGATACCAGTTGAGATTTTTTTAAACCCATCTTTTTAGGAAGCCATATTTTCAACACTCCCCTGCTGGTGGGGGGCCCCATAGTTTTACTATGGGGGAGCAAAGAATACACCTGCCGTGATACTGCGTGTTGTAAGAGGCGACTAAAAGTGCATAGATCTGGTCGCCCGAAAAGTGCCAGTTTGCGGAGGGCCAACTACCCAACCCAGTAAAAAACAGTAAGTTACAGAAACACGGACAAACACAGCTTTTTATTTTTCGATCTTGGGAGACGGAGGAGCTTCTGCATCAGCAGGAACAATGAAGGACAGTGGACAAAGCCAAAAGGACTCTTCTGACCCGAAACCTTCTTTGTCGAACAAGTCTCTCCGGATTGCGTAGTGGAATGTTCGCACCTTGTATGAAGCTCAAATAGTACAAGAGATGAAGAGATACAGGCTGCACATACTAGGAGTCAGCTAAACACCCTGGATACAGTCTGGACAGAAGCAGCTCAGCTCGGGGGAACAAGTATTGTATTCTAGGAGGGAAGACAAGTACCATGCGGAAGGAGTGGGAATCATTTTGAGTAAGTATGCACAGAAGTCACCTAGAAGATGGGAACCACACGGGGAAAGGATCATCATGGCTTCATTCACTACAAGGAGTAAGAGCATCAACATGAAAATAGTCCAAATCTATGCCCCAACAAATGATGCTTCTAATGAAGATAAGGATGCCTTTTACAGCCAGCTTCAGGGGGTCATCGACAAACTACCAAGGAAGGATGTCAACATCATAATGGGAGATGCCAATGCCAAGATTGGTCAGGACAACGTGGGATATGAAAGAATTATGGGACAACATGGTTTGGGACAAATGAATGAGAACGGTGAGCGATTCGTAAATATATGTGCTTTCAACAGTTTTGTTATTGGAGGCTCTGTTTTTCCCCACAAGAGGATTCACAAGGCCACATGGGTTTCGCCAGATGGAGTGACGGAGAACCAGATAGATCATTTTTGTATCTCTTGTAGGTTCAGGCGTTCACTGGAAGATGTCAAAGTACAGAGAGGGGCAGATGTTGGATCGGATCATCATCTGCTGTTGGCAAAACTCAAGCTTCCACTCAAAAAGCACGGAACCAGCACAGGAATCAAAAGAACCAAGTTCCAAGTAAGTCTCTTGGACGGACACAAGAAAGAAGAGTTTCAGCTGCAGCTGAGGAACAGATTTCAACCTCTGGCTGATCTTGGCGGAGAGGACACGGAGGTGGACACACACTGGACCAAGGTCAAAGAAGTCTTTACATCAACATGTCAAGAAATACTCGGTGTGAAGAAATGGGAGCACAAGGAATGGATTAGCCAACACTCATTGGATTTAATTAGGACAAGAAGACAGCTGAAGGCAGAAGCAAATGCAAGTAGAACAAGAGGATCAAGAGCAGATGCATTGGAGCAGTACAGAACAACAGCTGAATATGTCAAGAAATCAATAAGAAAGGACAAGGAGGAATTCATGAACAGGCTGGCAGAGAAGGCAGAGGAAGCAGCGGTAGGAGGGCACATGCGAATCCTTTACCAGACTACAAGGACACTTGCTGAAAAATATGGGAAACCATAAGTACCTGTAAAGGACCAAGAGGGGAAAAGCATTTTTGGAAAGGAAACTCAGTCTAAACGATGGGTAGAGCATTTCAACAGTCTCCTGAACAGACCACCACCGAGTAACACACCAAACATACTGCCAGCAAGAAATGAGTTCCCTATCTGCTGTGATGCTCCTTCAAAACAAGAGATTCTGGATGCTATTAAGAAGCTGAACAAAGGTAAAGCGGCCGGTCCCGACCAGATTCCACCTGAAGCCCTAAAAGCAGATGCCAGTGTGACGGCAGACATCCTCCTCCCACTGTTTACCAGGATCTGGAATGAGAGCAAGTTCCCAAAGGATTGGAAAGAAGGACACCTAGTGAAACTTCCAAAAAAGGGGGATCTCAGCAACTGCAGCAACTACAGAGGGATCACTCTTCTCTCAATACCAGGTAAGGTCTTCAACAGAATCATTCTGGAGAGAATCAAGACAGGACAGATCCAAGACTACGGGATGAACAGGCTGGTTTCCGGAAAAATCGCTCAACCACTGCCACGCTGAGGATTATTGTGGAACAGTCCCTGGAGTGGAACTCCCAGCTGATTGTCAACTTCCTTGACTATGAGAAGGCCTTTGACAGTATAGACCGAGCAACACTATGGAAGATAATGAGACACCACGGAATCCCACAGAAGTTGGTGAACCTCATCAAGAGCATGTATGAAGGGACAAGTTGCAGGGTTGTACATGATGGCCAGCTCACTGACAGCTTTGACATCAAGACTGGTGTGAGACAGGAATGCTTACTATCACCGTTCCTCTTCATATTGACTGATGAAGGAAACCACCAGAGGACACAGGAATGGTATACAGTGGACACCATGGACACAGTTGGACGATCTGGATTTTGCAGACGACTTGGCGCTTCTGTCGCACACCCAGGAACAGATGCAAGCAAAGAATTCAGTATCAAACAGCCTATCGGAGTCTGTTGGATTGAGGATCCACCCCGGAAAGTCAAAGGTCCTAAGGACAGATGCACAACGAAAGGAGCAGGTCACAATAGAAGGAACGGCACCAGAAAACGTGGAATCCTTCTGCTATCTTGGGAGTATAATTGACAGAGAGGGAGGAACAGGTGCTGAAATAAAGTCCCGCATTGGAAAAGCACAGGCTGCTTTCATATCTTTGGATAGGATTTGGAAGACCAGAGATATCTCACTTCGAACAAAGCTGAGGATTTTCAATTCAAATGTGAAGTCAGTCCTGTTGTATGGATGTGAGACATGGAACGCTTCACAGACTTGCATAAAGAGGATCCAGGTTTTCTTGAACAGGTGTCTAAGAAAGCTACTGAGGATCAGTTGGACAGACAGGGTCACCAATGTGGAAGTGTTAAGGAAAACAAGACAGATCCCAGTCAGAGATGAGGTAGGAAGAAGGCGGTGGCGATGGATTGGACATACTCTCAGGAAGTCAGGCAGCTGCATAACGAAGAAAGTTTTGGATTGGAACCCACAGGGCAAGAGATCAAGGGGAAGACCTCGTGGAACCTGGAGAAGAATCACAGAAATCGATGTACAGAAAAGTGGGAAGACATGGAATAACATCAAGAGGCTAGCCCAGGATAGAGAAAGGTGGAAGGTGTTTATCCGTGGTCTTTACCCTGATGCAGGGTGAAAAAGGCAATGATGATGATATTTTGAACAAATTTACTCTCTCTGTTTCTCCCATTCATGATTTAGGACAAGATTTTAACCCTTTAAACCCTGGACTCCTGAGTCTTAAATCGGTTATACCCTGGGCTCCTGAGTAATTTCAATGTTTTTTAAAATATATTTTTCTACAGCTCATTTTAAGGTTGATTGTATTGATTTATCTCCTTTTTTTCTTTTTCTTGTAATACAACTATGCTGGTGTTGTGTATTATTGATGCTGTTTTGTATTTGTGTTCTATTTCTGTAAACATGCGTCATATTTAGGTGGGTGTGTCAAACCGATATTTCAGGGTATTTGCCTTTATACATAATACAGATATTTCGGTACAAGATGGTTCAAAGGTTTATAAATTATACGTAACCAAAACAGTAACAACGGTGTGACAAATCACATCTCTGTAGAGAATACCCTATAATAATAGGCTTGGTGTTACCCCTTAGGATCTGACCTGATTCTTTTCGATTTTATGTTGACAAAAATTTGTCTTTAAGAGAAAGAGTTGTCGCAGTCCAAGACCCAACTGAGAAGAGAAATATTCACCTTGGTTACAGCACTTGTATGACCCGTCCACTGTTCCAGTATCTTTCGTTTGTCATAGTCATAAAGGATTACCATCTGCAAAGACAAAGTAAAAATATTTAAGTCACAGAATATATAGCTTCAAGCCATTCAATGCTCAGTGGTGCTCTGTGTCAAATTTCATTCACAATAACACCAAATCACAAGCTTCAGGAACTTTATTAAACTCATCAACAGTTTTCAGACACAACACCACTCAAAAAATGTGCAAAATGTTCCAAACTGACCTGAGATAAAATATTTGCATATATGAATAAGTTGGTGAAAATTCTTTTTGATACACACCTGGTCTTTACTCCCTGACACACAGCTCCCAGGCTTAACAGAACTGACACTAGCAACAGCATCTCCGTGTATTAAAGCAATGTCAGATTTTAGTGCTGGGCCCTGACCAACACTGTCTCCACCTAGGTGATCTGTATTTCTCATATCCTCGTTGACTGGCTTTGTGCTCGAGCGAGGCCTACAAAATAAAAATAACAAATATTTTTGCTTCATGTTTGGAAAAGCTTTTCAACAGCCCACAAGACGCACATGTCATTTTAACAGCAGCCTAGAGCACTTGGCCCAATAGGTTTAGTAGAGACAAAGGAAGAAAAAATGAAAGTTGCAGCGAACTCTTTCATCCAAAGGGCTTTATAAGTGGATATTGTATTTACAGCCCTCATGAGATTTTTCTTTTTAAATTAAAAAAATGTTCTTTGAATTTTAAATTTACTCTTCCTGTGGCATGATTAGGTATTCAAACAAGCGTTATTTTCCTTCTAGATTATGAACCATTATACCTCCTCTACATAATATGAAAATGTAACCCTTGAAACACATATTGAGTATTAAAATAAAAGAGAGGTGTTATAAAATCAAACTATTATAATAAATCAGCATCTACTTTCAAGAAATACATGATGTCCTAGTCATTAACATATGAACACACATCAAATCTTTTTAAACTCTTATCTCCAGCAAGCCACTCCCACTTTATAAGATGTTCAAAGCCAGCTAGTAGTCAAGTGTCCATGAAAATTCATTTGTCGCTTCCTAATTGTTCTCATAAAAATGAGCGGCCCACCTGGTCTGCTTTCATTATTTCCTTGCTTTGTTTCTTTTCTGAAAATGAAATTTTCTAGTGTCTTGAGAAATCATAGTTCTGTTCTTCTAGATTTAGATCTAGATCTAGAGATCTAGATCTAGTTTATTTTTTAACTATCTTTAGTCTTGGTAATTGATTGTCCATCATACTATTCATACTAGAATCTAGATCTAATATATCTAGATCTAGATCTAGTAGGAGGCTTGTATTTTCACTTGTTGGGCTCTTAATTACACAATAAAAACAGAGAATATTGATAACGCCGGCAGCTCATAACATAAGAGTAAACAACTAACGAACTAATACAACGATTGTTAAGTTGTAAATAATATGCTCTAATTATATACGATTAAAATTATAATAATGGCGTGGGGTGAATTGAAGTGTACGCTGCTACAGCAGCAGGCGTACTTACCCGGCACTTTTCTTTCGCTTGCTGAATAACTTCCCCATTAAATTCTCACTCACAAAGCTCATTCCATAGACTATTGTGTTTTTCTACTGACTGAAGTACAGTTTCGCACTGTAAAAAGGGGATGCTTGTCGTTTGGAAATAATGACAACAAGCTGTTTTTTCCGTTGAGCAATAAAAATTTCTGTAACTGCTCGGTCTCTAAGTGTCAACAAACTTTTGTTAGCTCCCCCTGATTCCTGATATTTTATTTCCGTTTGCGAAAATACAAATTTATAAAAGTATCAGAGAATTATACGGAAGAAATATTACAGCGCATTCGAGGCCAAAGAAGCAAGAGACTTTAAAAGTCTTCAGTAATATTGTTTTGTGTTGTCTACAATAGCCTTGTTTTTGACGTTGAAGCCAACATTCAACAATAATATACATGTTCTATTAACACTGCAAATTCATCGCCAGAAAAGAGTCCATACAATCTTTTAAATTAACACTTTTGTTCCAGCAGAAAAATGAGCTGAATAATTTTAGGGGAAAAAAAAGTTTTAAAAGTATTAAGCCACTGGCCAAGACTTTTTGCTTTTTCGCATTTCTATCTCCTTTGTATAGATCTACCCCCAGCTTTTTCAGTAGCTTCAAAATAAAACTTTACAGTGAATACTGGATGTGAAGAGGGGTGGTTGGTTACATGGTCAAAGGGAAACAACCATGTTAATTAAGCTACCTGAATAATAATATCGTTGTTATGTCCCATAATTACACTAACGAAAGTTACCAACCCCCCCCTAAAAAAGAAAAAAAAAAGGTTGCTAACAAACGTCGCAGGCTTCACATGCATTCTCTAGGCATTACAGTCATGTTGTTTTTGATGGGTTTTTATTTATGAGCTCCCCCCACTTTTCACACCTTTGCTGCAGAGCGAGAAACCTCGAAATAACCCGATAGTGTTGTAGCAAGGTCACAAAACAAACACTCACGATGTTAACATAAGATAAGATAAGTTGAGATACATCTTTATTGCCCAGATCCCGGCACATTGTTTTGGTGTTTCACCAAGTACACACATACACACATTCAGAACCGGTGGACAAAATATTGCTCTGAACTGTACATCCACAAAACCACAGGAAATCCATGAGTGTTCAATGTCTCCCAATCACGAGACAATGGCAAAAGCAGTATTTTAACAGAAGAGGTAGTGGCAGCAGTCTCATCATGGAAGAAAGGGAAATCAGCTAGAATAGACAACATCACAGCAGAAATAGTTCAAGCAGGTGGAGATGCGGTGACAGACAAGCTATGGATAATCTGCGACAAGATCTGGCAGACAGGTGAGTGGCCAATACCATGTTCTCAAACCTTGATCATCATCCTTCCCAAGAAAGGCAATCTTCAACAATGCCAAAACTAAAACTATAGTACCATTAGCCTGATTAGCAATCCTAGTAAAGTAATGCTTTCAGTCATTCTAACAGACTGAAGCCACAAGAAGAGAAAATCATAGCAGGAGAACAGGCAGGCTTCAGGACTAGGCGCAGCACAACTGAACAAATATATTCAACCTGAGAGTCATTACGGAAAAGTACCTCCAACACCAACAGTAGCTTCACCACGCATTTGTGGACTTCAAAAAAAGCTTTTGACAGAGTATGGCAGGAGGCTTTGTGGGCAACCATGAACTTTTACAATATCAATGTCAACCTGATCAAAGTCATAGACAAGCTATACATCAAAGCTACGAGTGCAGTCTTTTTCAACAATATTGAGGAATGGTTCCACACAACAGTGGGAGTACGCCAGGGTTGTCTGCTGTCACTCACTCTTTTCAACATTTTCTTGGATAGGATCATGACAGATGCACTGAAGATCACGAAGGAACAGTCAGTATTGGGGACAGAACGATTAAAAACGTACGTTTTGCTGACGACATAGACGCCTTGCAGGACAAGAGCAGGAACTAGTCAGCTTAGTAGACCGTCTTGAAAAGACCCCCACAGCCTACAGCATGGAAATCAGTGCTGACAAGATCAAGCCGATGTCTGACAGCAGCAAGAACATCACAGTGGACATCCAGGTAAACATCTAGAGGCTTGAGACCGTATGCAGCTTCAAATACCTGAGTGCAATAGTGATAGACGAAAAATCAAAACCAGAAATAATCTCTAGAATAGCGCAAACTTCAGCTGCAATGACCAAGTTGAAAAGCATCTGGAACGACAGAAACATCACAATCAGATCAAAGATCAGACTGATGCGTTCCCTGGTCATGTCAATATTTCTGTATGCATGTAAATCCTGGAAATTGAATGCAGACCTTAAAAGAAGGATCAAAGGTGTGGAGATGAGATGCTTCCAAACAAATCCTTGATATCTCATACAAAGATCACATCACAAATGATGACTTCAAACAACGGATCAAAAATGAAATTGGACCATATGCTGACCTTCTCACTCTGGTCAGAAAACGCCAGCTGCAATGGTTTGGACACATCACCCGTTCATCCGGCCTTGCCAAGATGACCCGGCAAGGCAGCGTCCAGGAGAAAAGGACCAGAGGCAGACCGAAGAAGAGTTGGGAGGAGAACATCAAGGAATGAACAAGCCTGGAACTCAAAGACACGCTCAAGAAAGCTGAAGGCGGAAGGAGTGGAGGAAGCTGATGGCCAAATCTTCAAAAGCGCCCCGACGGACATCCGGTCTACGGGATAGGAGAGGAAGGTTAACACACACACACACACACACACACACACACACACACACACACACACACACACACACACACACACACACACACACACGCACGCATACTCACACATACATACACACTGTAAGGTATAAAATAAGCGTCCCCCCCCGTTTATTAATCTCCAGTTCTTTGCGTCCCCCTCCCCCCCTGCCGCCGCTCCTTTTTCCATACCCCCCCCCCCCGGTTTATTATTTTCCAGCTCGCCACGACCGACGATCACGTGAAACATAATATCTAGAATTTAGATTCCTGAATGAAACATTTTTGTGTGTGTAAATGGCAAATGACCATCCGTATTAGTACCGGTACCGGGTTGGCTACCTCAATTTTCTGGGCATTTAAAAAAGTTTTGTACATTGGTTTATGTATTTTAATGAAACTGGTGTGTTCCTAAATGGGAAATGTTGTCACAGTAACTTACTAAAATCACTAAAATTTCATGATCTCTTGTTCTTTTGTTCACTGAAGGAGACATAAGACCGATTTGTTCCTTGTACGAAGTTAAATGTGTCATACCCCCCCTCTTTTTTTATTCTCCCCCCCCCCCCCCCACCCCCGTTTATTAATATTGGACCATTTGTCCACGAACGCCCTTTTAAAAATTCCTACCCCCCCCCCCCCTTTCCCAGTTTATTTGACACCCTAGAGTACACACACACACACACACACACACACACACACACACACACACACACACACACACACACATATACACATACACACAAACACATACACACACACAGGCACACACACGCTGGCTTACAATCAGATGCATGATATAAAAGAACAGTAATATAAACAATAATAATCTTAATCCTTCCAGCCCCAGCCATTTTTGTGCACTTCCTAATCCCAGTCCCAGTATATACAGCAGCATTTCAGAAAAAGAGACGATCATTCTAAAAAGTGAAGTAGTATCTTTGTAATGTGGTTTAGATAATAACATATAACAATGTTTAATAGTAAATGAACAAATATTATGAAAATTAAAGTTTACTTACGTTCGCTAATTTCGAAAAATGCGCAAATTCGGTACCCCCCGAAACTGAGAATTTACACTCTTGGGACGGTGGGAGGTGCAAGCACTGCTGAAAATATACGCGTATGGGGCTGGAAGGGTTAAGCTAGATACATACTCAATGTTATTCTGATGCATGCTGTAAGGTTACATGAATACTTTGTAACGAGATGGATAAAGCCCAATTGTTTTCTTAGTCAGTTGTGGACTATGAAAATAAGTGAAATAGTACTTATAATTTTGTCGTGTTTATGCTTCTAATTTTCATTGTCTCATAACTCACCGACAAAACTGTATGCCGTTTTGTTGTAGTGCGGTACTGGGTTAACACATTTGTTTCTTCAGGACCTAAGGCAAATCAAGTAGATTTAATGTACGGGCTGAACAGCGATTGAGCTGTACTTTTCTGAGCAACATAGACAGAAAAACGGGCGCAATTCGTTTTACAGTTCACTATTGTGTCAGTTAAGACTCGAGTCAGCTCAGTCATATTTTTAAGTTCAGTCAAGAAGTACCGTCCCGTTTTGTTCTTTCCCTGGCTGACTTTGTTGCTAATGCGGATCAGATGGACAGACAGGGTCACCAACGAGAGAGTGTTAAGGAGAACAAGACGGAGCCCAGTCAGAGATGAGGTGGAAAGAAAGCGGTGGCGATAGATTTGACATACTCTCAGGAAATCAGGCAGCTGCCTGACAAGGAAAGTATTGGATTGGAATCCACAGGGTAAAAGATAAACGGGAAGACGGTGTGGAACCTAGAAAAGAGTGACACAAATTTATGTACAGAAAAGTTGGAAGACATGGAATAACATCAAGAGGCTAACCCGGGGTAGGGAAAAGTGGAAAGTGTTTGTTCGTGGCACTATGCCTTGATCCCCGTAGAGGAAGGTGATGATGATGATGGTGATGATGAAGCCCTTTACCGGGCGAAACGTTGAACCTGTATAAAATTTTTAATTTGAAAATTCTACTAGTCTCAAGGCTATCCCACCTCCAAACCTGAAACAGCAAAAGTGTCACATCGTCTTTAGTTCACCGCCAGTTTCAGGGATTTCTCCTCTAGGCAGAAATCAATAATATAATATAATAAGGGCACGTACTACTGTTCATGTCCTTCCTCAGCATGGATGCCTCAGCAAAGTCTTCTCTCTCTTCCTTACCCTCCCCCTCTCTCCTTCTCTCTCTCTCTCTCTCTCTCTCTCTCTCTCTCTCTCTCTCTCTCTCTCTCGCTGGTGGTGGTGGTGAGTGTTTAAATGCTCAACGTTACTACGTTACATGTGCCACTATCACAAGCTAGAATATGTCTTTATTGGAGCCGGGTTTCTTCAACACTGTCTGTCAGGGCTAACCTGGCCCTAAGCTATGTAAGATAGTGTATCCCTGCAGAACGATGGTTATATGAGGATAAAATTAAAATATTCTTCCCACCTCAGGGAATTGAATTCACGGTGTGGGTTTTTGTTTTTCTAAAATTGTTTTCCTCATGATGACAAGAGCCGAACGATGAAACCATAGACGTCAGGGAGAGAGCGTTGGATTGGGATAGATTTGGAAGCAAAAAATGAGAAGGAAACTGGAGATAAATCACTTCAATAGAACATGACAAGCCGCCGATAGTGTTAACCAGGAGGATGTAGGCCTATGGACTTTTCTCAGGAGGAAAACAGAGCAAACAATACAAGTCTGCGAGACCGTTATCATAAAGTTGTAATAATTAACCCTCTGGAGAGTTTTTTGAGGTACTCACCCATCATTTAGGAAAGCAAGATGATCTAGAAACTGATTATAATCTTCTCCCCACCCTTACCCCTACAGCTGGCTACTGCCCCCGCCCCCCTCCCTGTCGCAATCCTCAGTCTTTTCCGAATTAACTTTTAACGCTCCTTGCACACCCCCCCCCTCCAAACGCCTTCCTCCACTACGGCACAGGAATGCTCCTACTTTCAAACTCGGGTAAGCAAAAGTTTACCTGTAGCCGGCAGGCACTGTTTTCAGGTTCGTTCCGCATCCGACAACTGGCACCACAATTTGTGTTTCCTCCCCCGCTCCGTTCCTCCCCCCATCCCTCGCCTTTCTTACGCTGGGCCCGTGGCACCGTAGCCTTCCTCTCTTTCGCATTTCTCTCGCTTTCCCGCAGAGCTTCATCCGAGGAATGCCTCGTGGAAAGAAACTTGTAAAACACCACGCTTCTCTCACTCCCCTTCATCAGCGGAATAGGTTGTGTTAAAGGTAGTCTGCTCCCCAGCTTTTGCGTATTTTACGTGTTCTCTTGGATAAAACGGAGTGCATAATTTTTCTACCACTGTCTGACTGCTCCACTTTGCCAACTTTTGTTTCCGTTTCAAGACATAATTCATCACTTTGGCGCCTGGACGTTTACAAACAACCCTTCCCGTATCATTTTTTTGTCATTCATACTTCTCTCATTTACGCATTAGCGTCGTCTGACTTTGTTATTAACTTACAGTGAGTCTTGTCTGCGAGTTCTCTATAATATTATTTCTAACGATAGATGTTTATTGCACCAAACAAATATGGGCGAAAATAACTCAAACCCTTCGCTCTTTGGCCCAGTGCCGAAAAATTAAAAACTACAACCGCAAAAAGCTAAGAAATCAGCTGATGATTAAAAAACCGGCGAAGTTTAAGCTACATTCTACTAATTTTTTGTTTTCACCGTTCTCGCTTTGTTGAGTAAGTCATTGACTGAGGTTAAGAACCGTATAGATCTAGATCTAGATCTACATTAGATCTAGATCTACCTCTCATTTTTTTCGTGCAAGTGGACTGAATACACAGTCCGCAGTTGGCTGTCAGTCAGTATATTTTGCAAGTCATAAATTTATCAATTAATGAGAAGTGACGGTCAGTTATGTCACACTCACTGCAGACGAAATACGCGGGTCTCAGCAGTTCAATTGTGGCCACTGTCACAGTCGGCATATAGGCCTACTGACTGATAGATCTACTACATCGAGTGTAGAGCTAGACTCTAGATCTAGATCTAGATCTAGGCCTAGGTCTAGATGATGATTGCTCTTTACCCCCCCCCCCCCCAAAAAAAAAAGATCTTTGTGATGCCATCTCTTGTGGCATCCACAGTCAACTGTTCACTCATCAAGCAACCTTAAACATAGTTAACTTAGTTAGTAGAGACGAAACAACACACAATACAAACGAACTGACTATTTTTCAGAACGTTCGGGAAAATAATTTTAACTCGATTTTTGGCTATTTGCGAGATTTAGGCGTCACCCTTCCATTCTGTCTTTCTGCGAGGACTGGGAAGAAGCATTTTTTGCAGCAAATAATTCAATTTCTAGAGCTAGATCTAGAGATTTTTAAATGTCTGAATATTTTGATACTTCAGTTGTGTTTGGTGCAATGTTCCTGGACTATGCTTCATTTAAAAATACCTTCAAAAGGTACTGCGAGAAAACAAGACTGCTCGGCATTGGCAGTGACCTATTTTGCATTTAGTCACCCAGCAAAAACTAAAATCCTTTCACTTGCACAGACACACCTTACACACACTTACACACACACACTTACACACACACACACACACACACACACACACACACACACACACACACACACAACATACAGGCCACTCCATTTGCTTATTAATACGACAAATCTCGAGAACGGAAACTTTTTGGAGAAATAGAGTTCAAGTTTATTTTTCTGAACGTTCGGAGAAATAGAGCTAGATCTAGATTCTATACTTTTAAAACATTTACTTTTACTTTTTTATGGTTGTTATGTCTGAGTGAGTGTATGTGTGTGTATATAAGTTTGTACATGCATGCATGCGTACATTTAATTGATTTTTCATCATGTCGTGTTACATATGGTGTGGGAGCAAAGTGTGATGCATCAGTCAGTTTCAATAGACCTTAGTAAATGCATTACCAGTCTATCCGTAGGCTTACTTAGATCTATGTTAGGCCCTAATTCAACTAATTGACTGAAACCTGTTGAGTGCACAGGTTTCATTAGATCTAGTCTTCTTCTTCTTCTTCTCGATCGCATCAATGATCTAGTGATTATTCAGGTTTAAAATACATGCATGTCAGTAAGGCACCTTTTGGTTTTGTTTGAAATACAAATATTTAAGGTTACTTGTATTGCAAACCAAAATTTTATTTACAATTCAGCCATCATTATTAAGTACGGCTAGCCTGCCTGCCAGTCTAACCGTTCTTAAGTAAGGCTGGCCTAGCCATCTAGCTGTGCTTAAGTATGGTTGGCCTGCCAGTCTAGCCGTACTTATTTTAGGTCCTGTTAGAAACCTGTTGAGTAATAGGTCTTATTAGTAATTATTCAGGTTTAACATACATGAACTGTCAGTAAGGCACCTTTTGGTTTCGTCTCAAATACAAATACTTTGTAGTTTCCGAGGATACTTTTTAAGCTTCGAAAACCACCAAACTTTGGTGGTCATTTTCTCACTAATTTTACCCCTGATACACCAGACGAATTTAGTTTTTTTATGCCTTTGACTAAAGCTTTTCAGTAAAATCCGCTCTCATGTCTTGTTTAAATGGAATAAAAGTTTTTAAACCCGAAATGAATTTGAAAAAAAGTAGCCCCAAGGGACTGAAAAATATCAGTTTCTTTGATTTGTCGAGCGCCTGATTTCACTGCGATGCCACGCAAATGTATCCATCCCTTCATTGGTCTGTTCCTCCCTCCCTGTAAAGGTAAAAAAGGCAATAAATAAATTAAGGGAGAAAATTCTGTTCTCTTGAAATAAAATTATTTTTTTGAATTTGACAAACTTGAACCTGAAGAGATCTAGATCTAGTGCGCCCACTTTTGTTACGGAAACAATTATCAATAGTTTGTTTTTATGCTCTTTTCTGTGTTTGACTTTTATATTGTTATTGTTTAAAAATGTTCATGTTTATTAAATACTGTTCAGCCTCTTCTCCAATTTTGCCTTTACAACTTACCAAGATGAATGAGTCTTTGTCTCTCTCTTACTTGTACATCAATGGTTTCTTTAATTTTTTTTGCAGACTGACTTTTTTCAAGACTCAAAATGGCAGCATCTCATATGGCGTCAGCGACCTCTTACAAAAACCCCAAATTGATTTCTATACCCGAAGTGGAAATTGACAAGAACGGAAAATTCAAGTACATTCTTATCAAGGTGCACGATCCTGATATCGATAGGGAGTTTAAGCACATTGTTCGTGGGACATCCAAAGCAGCGTATCATGGTAAGTGTGGCTTTTGTTTTTTGCTCTGTGTATGCTTTTTTCTCTCTAAAAATGCAAGAAAAGGAATGAATGGAGGAGGCTTGTTTGATGTTTGTCATCTGTCAGTGTTGAGGAGTGAAGTACAAATGTTATGGTTTGAATTTGTCACCGACAAATCGTACCTCTTCTCTTGTGTATTGTCATTGTGAATTGCTGTTTTTATTTCCAGTTTCCTCGTTTTGAAATGATCAGAGTGTATTTTGTGTTTAAAACTGCTTTTAAATATTTGTGAAACTATGAAAGATAAGGACGCAAAAATAAAACTATCCCAGACGCGACCAAGGGGTAGCTGGAGCGAGCCTTTGGCAGGTCCAGTTTTCTTTTTCTTTCTCTTTATTTCTGTCTTAAGGGCTTTTATCTAGCACTGAACAACAGCTATCTTCTTCATGATGGGGTACTTCTCTTCACTCACTCAAAAGTAAGACCCGATCAGCCTCCCCGACAATTTATTATACTGGACGGTCCCAAATGACCTCTATAGAGCGAGACTCCCCCCCTTTTTATTTTCCCTTAGTAGATCCCCCCCCCCTCCCGTGCCTTAGTATCCACACGGCTATTCCCCAAACGTCTTGTCTGTCCGCTCAGTGCAGTGTGCAAGTTTTAATTTTACAGTTAGCGAGTGAGTTCGCGGAGCTGATCTATAGAGGGCTACAGACACACTCTCTCTCTCTCTCTCCCCTCTTTTAGTCCAGCCGCCTGTCTTGGAGTTAAGATGAGCCTAGACGCTCTTGGAAGAAGGGGTGGTAAACAATTTTAAGGAAAAGCGGAAGGGATGGGGGTGGGAGGTTGGGTGGGGGTGGGTGGACTGGTTAGTGAGTGGCTGGCTGGCTGGCCCGTTTGTTGTAACAGCTCTGACACATTGTATACGGGGTAAGCCACGCAGTGCTCTAATGTAATGGCCATGCGGCGCAAGTAGTGGGGGATAAAAACAACAACCCCCCCCCCTTCCCCCAACCACCCCCGAGACTGATTGGGTGAAAGGGTATTTATGAAAACAATGTACGGGGTGTGCGGGTTCTGCAGGCGCATCTGTGTTGTAGGGTGGTAAACATGGCTGCGAAAGGAGGGAAAAGGAGAAGAGAAGTGAAAACAAAAGGGTATGGAGGTGGGGTGGGGAGATAGTTAGGGAGGGTGAAAGTCCATAAAGACAAGGCGAATCAAGTAATAAACGAATGGAACGAAACTACTTTGGAGTTGAGTGTGTGTGTGTGTGTGTGTGTGTGTGTGTGTGTGTGTGTG